TCATATCAGATATCCAATTTGCATCACAGTATCCTTCTAATGCTGCTGGATATCTCATATAATGTAATCCAAATTTGAAGGCATGTTTTAAATATCGAAGTACCATATTCAATGCCTTCCAGTGATCATTGCTTGGATTACATTTGAACCTACTCAATTTATTAACTGCGAACGCAATATTAGGACGTGTGCAGTTCATTAAATACATCAAACTTCCAATAACCTGAGAATATCTTAATTGATGTATCGGTTCACCTCTATTTTTTGCTAAGTGTAGACTCGTGTCTACTGGAGTTTTGACTGAATTTTCATCAAAGACTCCAAATCTCTTTAACACAGATTCAACATAATAAAATTGTGAAAGAACGAGGCCATCTAGTGTTTTAGAAATTTTAATTTCAAGAATTACATCTGCTACACCCATGTCCTTCATGTCAAAATGTTTTGTTAGCATTTTCTTAGTAGACACAATGATATCATGATTGCTACCTAGAATTAGCATATCATCCACATATAAACATACTAAGACATGCTGTCGGTGTAATCTTATTATACACATTTGTCACACTCGTTAATCTTAAACCCATTTGACAACATTGTTTTGTCAGTCAAATTTTTGGTGCCACTGCTTTGGCACCTGTTTTAATCCATATAAAGATTTAACGAGTCTGCAAACATTTTTCTCTTGTCCATGAGCGACAAATCCTTCAGGTTGCTCCATGTATATTTTTTCTTCCAACTCACCATTTAAAAAGGTTTTTGACCACACATTTTAGTGGGACCCAATTTTCGAATTGTCGAAATAAATGTTCAATTAAATTCTACGTTCCGAGTAGATGAGTGTAGAATATTTAATTGTGAAAAACCATTTCAATATGAATGAGAAATTATGATTGAAAGTTGGACAATAAATAAGAGGAATAAATGGGAAAGAATTGGAAAACTGTTCCACATAGGTTGCAAACACAACCTTGAACCACTTAATAAACTTCACGTTTGGAAATGGGTTTGGGCCCCAAGGGGTACCAATAGTAGTCTTTGAAAGGGGGGAGTCTTAGACAATATCTAGACTAACCAAAGGCCACGCGCGCCGCCGTTTAAAAATCGGCCGGCTCGGCACGGTTGGGTCGTGGGCTTGGGCTCGTGTCAATATTAATTTTTTGGATAAAATTTTTTTATCTAAATTCAATTAATTCCCTCCCTTTTCACGGTTTATTAACCGAACCATCAGTTTATGAAAACGGTGAGTTAGGTGGACGTCTTAACTGCTCAACCATGAGTTAAGTGGGCATGAGTGGTGAAACTGTTTAAAGTAGGGAGGTGTACGAGGTTCAACCGTCAACTCTCTCCTCTATTTAAAGGATCCTCAGGCTTTTATTTCGATACACAAAAAATACACGAGTTCACTCTGCATACATACAGTCTTCCGTTTTCTTTTTTGCATTAGTCTACAAAGAGTACTTCCGGTTTTGGTTCGTGTCTTGCAGTCGAAGTGCTGCTTCTGCAAGTATTCGATCGTTGTATCTTGGTAGACGCTTTACCACATACCGTGTGACGGGGTAAAAACATCTTAAGGACAGAGAGCCTAGTTCTCGCCTCGTTCATCCTCATTCCGAATTCTGCAGTTGTTTTAAGATTTATATTTTACTCGTTTAATGCTTTCTGTTCTTACTCGTTTAGATAAATACATTATGTTCTTACTGTTTAGCAAGTCGTCAATTCTGGAAATTTCATTTTCTGCAACAATTTTCAAAATCCAACATGTATAGTAGCTTCAAATAAGGCTTGGAAACTTATTATCTAATCAGACATTGTTATGTTTTGTTAAAATTGTGCGGGATTCTCTTCTACTATTCATTTTGCTGAAAAATTTACATGTGCTTTCTGTCATCTATTCCAATTTCCTCCTATACTTGAGTTGCACTATTAAAGTTGGTAATATTTGTGCAGAAGCAATGGCCGTTCCTTTGCTCGACAAGAAGATTGTGAAGAAGCGTGTCAAGAAGTTCAAGAGGCATGAGAGTGACCGCTATGTCTCCCTGAAGGTACTCTCTTCTTCCAATTTATCTATTCTTCTCGTTATCAAAAACTACCTCCTTGAGTTTCAACTTGTAAAAACACTCCCCATGCCTGCTATGAAATTTTCCCTACGATTTTAGCTTTGTAATGGTCAAGAACACAAATTTTTGTTGCATGATGAGGGCGTCGAATGGGTTGATAATCAGTTTATAAAATTAACCAAATAGATTCAAAAGCAGCTTTTGATTCTTCCTAAGCTCCTTTTGGCTTCTCAAAAGCCATGCTAAACGGTCTCTTAGTTTAATGTGCCCAATGTTATGGAACTGCTGTACACCCCAAGGTTCAGTTTCCATGTCACCGTGATATGCTCACTGGAGAATTATAAATAGGAATTATGTATATTCGTAACATCTGTTGTTCTGCATGTCCAAGTATGTATTTCCCTGGATATACCTTCAGTCCCAATCGAGTATTGATTATCCATTGGTTCCATTTTGTAACTTGCTTTATCAGCCTTATTGTCCAAATGGCCATTTTTGGCTTAGCCGTTGGATGATATTCTTGATATTTTGTCGCATTTTTGTGGCAGACAAACTGGCGTAGGCCCAAGGGTATTGATTCACGTGTCAGGCGAAAGTTCAAAGGATGTACGCTGATGCCAAACATCGGTTATGGTTCAGACAAGAAGACTCGCCATTATCTTCCTAATGGATTTAAGAAATTTGTTGTCCACAATGCCAAAGAGCTGGAAATTTTGATGATGCACAACAGGTTTTGGACTCTTCTGTCTTGTACTTAATTAGAAATACTCTTACAATATCTGACCTTTCGGTTTGTTTTCAGGACTTACTGTGCGGAGATAGCACACAATGTGTCTACTAAGAAAAGGAAGGAAATTGTTGAGCGCGCTGCGCAGTTGGATGTTGTTGTGACCAACAAACTCGCTAGATTGCGTAGCCAAGAAGATGAGTGAGCTTTGCAATAGCCGTTGTTTTTCAGTTACTTCATTGGATGGTATTAGAAGATTGAACAAGACGGTAATCTTGGTGTTTTTGTTCATGTCAAGATGTTTGTTTCAGTTGCGTGGCATGCTACTTTATTTCTGCAATGACAATTTAATTTATCATCAAAAGATTAAAAATCGATATTGTGAATTTGTATTGGATGAAAATCCTTCAACTAACACGTCTTTATTCTTATTATCTTAATTTTATATTTTCCTCATTTTCTCATCTTCAACATCCCTTGTACATAGGACACCACATCAATTACATTGTTTCCATCTTTGCCCTCACCTGGCTGCCGAAACAGAATAAATTGCAGCGGGACATAGAATTCCAATCAACGGTTTTAAGAAAATCGTGGCCTTTGATTTCCTTAACGGAGATCTTCTTTCGTGGGTCCTTTTCAAGCAATTTGCCAATCAAGTCCCTTACCTCGGCGAGTTCTGATGGCTCCGTTAAAATCTGGTAAAATGTCTCTTTCCGATTTGCCCTCCCTGAAATTTTCGTATAGTATGATACCTAAGCGCCACAAGTCAATCGCGAAATCATTGTTATTACCTAATATGATCTTAGAGGCCACGTATTCCTCTGTTCCGATGAATTTGGGGCCATGTACTCATCTGTTCTCGCGAACGAGATGTCTTTGTTTTCATCAAGTCACAGTCAATTTTGGTTGGATGGACCGAGTCCGCCAGTTAACCCGAGTCACGAAATTTGAAGAAATGGGAAACCAAGTTCTTCTTCCTCGACTCTGATTTTGGATATTTTTTGCTTCAAATCTCTATAAACAATTCCTAATCCGTGACACCAATTCTGCAGCATAAAATAATAAATTCCGTGACATTAATATTAGAATATTAAAATTGGGCCATCCAAAGTTGAAAAGTCTTTCAGGGTCAACATGGTTACTTTTTCTAGTTTACCTTAATCCAAAAAAAAATGTTATTCATCCCCAATAGAGATGCATCCACAATCTATGTGGATGTAAATGATTGGTTAAATGATAAGTGAAATTAAATAATTTATTTAATTTTACCTATTATTTAATGCCACATAGACTGAGAAAGCATCTCCAGTGAGGATGAATAGCATTTCTCTAATCCAAATGTAACCCAATTATTCCACCAATCAAAACAAATTTAACCTTAAGTTAAGCCTCCGTTTGATGCACATTTTTTAAAAAAGAATGTATTTTTACTGTTGATGTGATGGGGAATATGTGGTTGAAAAAAAAAGGAAAAGTTATTGATGTGATGAAAAATATTATTTTATTAAGAAATGTGTGGTTAAAAATGAGTAGAAGAATGATAATAAAAAAATAACGTGATTCAAAAAGGGCCTACTACTAGAACCATCCAATCAAATTCTAGCGCTGAAGTTTCCCGGTCACCACGCGTGACATGCTAGCTTCGTTCCTCCTCACTGGGAAAATTACACCATTGGCCCCCAATCTATACCTCATGTAGCCTGTTGTGACCAACTCGGCAATGACTTTTGAGTCACACTAGAGTGATCCAATATGTAACAAGCGGACTAGTCTCTTGTGCCAGAATAAGCTTTATTTGCATATGCTACACATTCGGATTAGCTCGTTTTTCATATATTGGATAACTTCGGTTTGACTCAAAGTCGTTGATGGGAATTTGTTCATGGCATTTGTCGAACGAGATACAGTCTTTGTAAAATAGTACTTTAATTCTCAATATTTTATATAGTAACACTTATCATTTATGAAACTCGTTGAATTTAGTTTTAAATTATCAAGTCTCAAAAGATACATTTTATTTCCTATTTTTAGGCATGATCCCGTATTGAAAAGCAAAACTTAACTTTATAAGTTAGACACAAGAGAATTACGTCACACGGTTCGACGACAATTGGAAGGTTTATATATTTGTGGATTGATTTTTCAACTGTTATGAGAAGTTGTGGATCAATTCATTTACTGGCCAATAAGTTGGAGCCTACTCTTGCAATTTTCTCCATAGAAATATATCAAATGTTCTCGAAAAATCACGAAACATAACTCATTCTCCCTTTCAAAATTTCCAATCATAGACGTAAAGTACTTTTGTTATTGTAATCAGCGTGTGCAATCTGTATTTTTGTGTACGTTTGTAGTTGCAGTCGTAAACTCGTAATCAGCTTTATGCGCATAGAGAAAAGATAATTGGCAGAGGGCAGAAAAGAAAAATGTCGCCAACAGTGGCAGCGTCGACGGCTAAACAAGCCGAGCAACTTCGAATAGATGGAAACAGTTATTTCAAAAAAAATCGATTTGCTGCTGCCATTGATGCTTATACCGAGGTATTTTTAGTTTTGTGGATTTAACATTTGACAGGATACAAGTAAAGGCCTTTTTTTTAGAATTTTAATATGTTTTATCTGTGGTTCTTTTAGGCTATTACGTTGTGCCCTAATGTTCCGATATATTGGACCAACCGGGCTCTATGTCACCGCAAGCGGAAGTATGTACAATCATTATTCTCGTTAAAACGCAATGATTTTTTGCTGTTAGTTTGAAATGTATATTTTCTTGATTGAAATGTTTGATCCTTTAGCCACTTTACCCATTAAAATGTGATTTTTTTCCTTTTTTTGTGTTACCTTTAATTGATTGAAATGTTTGATTCTGTATTCATTGTATCCATTAAAACGTTTAATGAATTTTGTTTGTTTTGGGTGACTTTTAAATGTTTATTTTCTTGATTGAAAGTTTGATGCCAGTTTTTGTGGGTGCAGTGATTGGACCAGAGTGGAGGAGGATTGTAGGAGAGCAATTCAGCTTGACCACAATTCTGTTAAGGTCTGGTGTACTTGTAATCATGATTAATGACTTCATAGATTTTACTGGCTCGGCGTTGTTTGATTTTTAGTAATGTTTTAAATACTCTGGTATTATTTCTTTTCTTGTTTATTATTTTATCTCCTTGGGATTTTTTAGTACTTAATTGAATTTCGTTCTATATGAAGATGATTGTGCTTACATTGAAAAACACTATTTCAGCACTAAGACGTAGTAAAGAGAAAAAACAGTTCGAACAAGCTTGGAAGACTTGGATCTAAATTGTGCATTGCTGGAGGCTGAACACCGTAATGGCCACAAATGTTTCTTACAATTATTGTCACCATGGCCAAAATTTATTGCAATCATGAGAACCAAATAATTCATGACATTTGCTTACTAACCATGTTCAACCCACTTTACAATGTTGCTCAATGTTCGCCACCGCTAAAGCTGCTCCCCCCACCCACACTTGCGGACTTTTTCACTTATTTTGACTCTATTACTGTAGTTATCTTTTCCTGATTTCCATCGACACGCCAATAAAATCTTCATTTTACTATCCCCATTGTTGGTTCTCCATAAACTCAATAGCCATACAATTTGGTTATTTTTTACCATTTGGTATAGCACGCGAATTATTTTGGAATCAACCTAATCTTCTGCAGTTGATATTTGAGATACCTTTTGGGGCTGTGATTGTTGTACCTGAAAATTTCTGAATACCTTTTACGGTTCCTTTTCATCTTTTAATATTGACAATCAAAATGTTCAAAACATTGGAGGCTTTTCTGCAGGTGTGCAGGTTTGGTTGATTGAACGAAGCACCTACTCATTTGCTTGGTTCTGTAGGAGTGGAGGAGACACACGTCTCCTCTTCAACATATGCTTTTTGGAGCTTGAGAAAATTGGGTGTGTGCGGGATTATTATAGTTCGGTCCTTTCACTTGTTTTTGTTAACTTTTTTGGGATTATAAAATATCAAATGTGTGCTTTTGGGAGAATAAATTCAATTAATTCTGGGTTCTTAATAGTATTTCATAGTTGGCAAGCAAGTAAATGGGAAAAAAAATCAGAAAACCAGAAAATGTATCTAATTCTGAGTTGAGGAAGTTTTGTGCAGCTCAATAAGTTGAGACTTGAGATCAGAGCACATTTAAAAATTTACACTATTTAAATATACTGGTTAAGATTTGAATACATTTCACTATTTAAATATACTGGCTAAGAACCCTTTCAGTTACGTAGCAGTCTAAATAAATAGATAAAAATGAATGGTAGATAAGTAGGTAATCCTATGAAATGTGGATGAAGAGTGTTTGATCAATTTTAAATAGTTTATAAACATTAGCCAGGCATGAAATTAAAATACTTATGTGTTTGCTTATTCATAAGGACGAGTGGAGAGGATGTAATGAATATGATTTAAGTGGATTTGAAGGACAAGTGCTACATGTATTCTATGTGATAGGAAGTTTCCAATAAGGTTAAAAAGTGAGTTCTACAAACTAGGTACTAAATATATTATACTTATGGTACTGAATGTTGGACTTTTAAAGGAGAAAGGTTTCATAATCTAAACATAGTGAAAATGAGGATGTGAAGCTAAATTTGTGGTTGTATCAAAGGGATAAAATAAGAAACAAGAGTATTAACGCTAATAAATGGATGTGATAGTAATTGAGGATAAGTTAAGGAAGGAGAACTTGGATGATTGCGATATGCCTTGATTATACGCAAAGTGGGTCCTGTTAGTAAAACATGTTAGAAGAGGTAGATTAGACTAAAATTGTGTTGTTGATGTTGAAGATCTAGTTATATTATGGTTTAAAAGGGTGTGACTCGGGCAACCTCATTGTTAGGTGGTGGTCGAAAGTATTGAGTCAAGATTTTTTTCAGAGCAAAATGAAGCTCACGCCTTTAGTGATTGAGGCATAAGCCTCAAAGAGAGAGAGGCCTGAGCCTCTCTTTAATTATCTCGAAAATCACTTGTTCTTTGGAGGTCTCATATTTTTATTGGTTGACTTCTATAGAAATATACCATATATTAAAATGGCTTTTGAAATCTATTACATTTTAATAAATATTACCTAATTTCATTGATTACTAGCCATAAATTATCATCGAAACCCATTATATATCAAAACCTAATTATTTTCTTTGATTATATATTAATATGCCATGAGATAAAATACATTATAATTCAAACACACAACGCGCATAACAAAACACACAAGACAATGTAACTCTAGAACACTCGGAAAATAACAATAACATCACCTTAGATCTTTAAGTTATATTGTATGAGTATTTAATGCTTGTGGTTTATTTTTGTATTTTTTTTGTTCACGGTGAGACCACTCTTCGCCTCACGAAAGAAAACCCCCTCAATACCCGATTTTACCTTTTTAACATTGAGCTACATTGAGGAAAATGTCACTAGTCAACCCTCACCCTCGCTTTATAGTTCATTATAAGCTCTTTCAGATGTTGGCGAAACATTTCAACATCTAAATAGCATGTTAATTTTTTTTCTACCAATGCCTTTTTAGGGGTTAGGGTTTCAACATCTACATATCATATTAATTTTTTCTCTACCGATGCCTTTTTAATTAAGAGGTATCCTAAGCAACTGAGTCAAATGTAATGTCTACTGCTGGTATTTTGTTATTGCAATTTGCTACTTATTTTTAAGGTTGTGGCGATAGCGAAGACGGAAAGGTTTTTCCAGTGTTGACGCACAGAGCTCCAACAAAGGAAAATGTGTGAGGTGCAAAAATGGGAAGAAAAGGAGCGGTTTTGATAAATTTTGGGCTTTATCGAGTCCTTTTCGTCTGAACTACTAGTCTTTTCAGATTATTACACATTCACATTTTGGGTGCTGAAAGGGTATTTGTTTATGAGATGCGTATCAAATCATGTGAAAAAATTAGTTAGTGTTGATTTCACTTGAAACTTTATTGAATTTTAATTGTTATCTGCTGCAATTTACTAAAATTGCTTAAGTTTTATTTAAAATATATAATGTGGTTCACTTTGATGAGGCGGTGTCCTGATGCAGTTTGTGTATTAAATAACTGTGGGTTGCTGCTGGTTTTTTTTTTGTCATGATTAATATTTTTTCTTCCCCTGCTATTGAATTTCCAAGTCCGATTTACTTGAACTTACTATGTCAATCATGATTTTTGCAAATAAATTTTGAAGTCTCAATATTAATGCTTCAATTCTGAATCAAATATAATCATTGAAAAAAAAATGTGGAAATGATCCTGAAACTTAAGGAAGGGAGCGTAGTCGCTCATACTTCTTTGGAACCTCTTGTAGATCATTTCTGATTTCTCAACTTATGAATTGAATCTAATCATTGTAAAAATATATGCCTTTGATGCTAAAACTTCCTTGTGCTTCAATTTTTCTCTTTCTTTGGTAAATATTTTCACATGCACGAGTTCTTCGACCAATTAAAAGTTAGTGATATCAACTTTGAAAATGGTCATTCTTGCTCCATCTTTTCCCGCCTAGCCTAGTTTTGTGCTTATTTTGCATCTGTCCTTGGTGCTCCAAGATTTACATCTTGCTTTCAGTTCTGTCTTTTGGATGAAATGGTCCAACAATTTGAGCTCTAAAATTTGGTGATGAAACTACCCCCCAGTGGATCAACTTTCCTGTGATTGCATTAACCTCTTGTCATAGTGTGCGCGTATAAACTGTTTGCTAACGGTGATTATCTACTCTTTGTGAACTTTTCTATAGATTACATGAATTTAGATCAATCTGCTTCAGGACATCATGTAATAAATTCTGCCTGCCTCAACTCTAACTCATGTTGATGAGGCACAAGTTCTAGTTCCAAAAAGCTCTGTTGTATTGCTTCATGAGTATATGACATGAGGACTGCAAAAGTTTATAGCAAAGAACTCTTTCTAATAGTGAAATTTTTGTTCACAGTTTTTCATTTTTCAGTTTGTCTAGTGGAATATATTCCATCATTGATAATGGCTACCTGGAAACCCACAGGCCTTTCTTACATGACAAATGGAAAATGTTTTGACTTATATAATTGGTTATTCTGGGTTTGGGTTTGATCTCTGTCAATTCCTTTGTACTAGTGAATGTTCCCTTCAGGAAAATTCTAGCCTTTTGCTAAGAGAGTTACACTCTGGAGCACTATTGTTGACTTGTGCATTTTACAGTTTTCTTATTTGGCTGTCACCCATGAATCTAACTTGGAAGTGCTTTGCATTATGGCAGGCCCACTATATGCTTGGTCTTGCACTGCTACAAAGGGAAGAATACACTGAAGGAGCTAAGGAATTGGAAAAAGTACGTGATTTTATTTCATACAGATATCTTTTTATTCCGAAAAATGTTAAGATGCCATTAAGCTTTGCAAAAATATACATCCTTGTGGAGGCATATGCTTCCTTCAAGTCTTGTATGAATGACCAATGTAAGTGTTAGATAATGCTAAGTGCTAACAAATGGAATCCTATTTTCTCTCAGATTATACTCAAAATAGATAAGTTGACCAGTTTCCGTTTCACCCATTTCTTCTTTTGTTCATCTTTCTTTCTTAGAGACAAAGAACTACTTCCTGCTTTCTGAAAATCAGTCACGCTCTTGTGGAATTGAATATTACTTAACCTGTTATGCCTTGTTGGATGGTACACTAGCTTTGTAGGATGACCTGTGCTGTATAATTTGCTTAGTTTTTGGGTGGCTTGTTGCTTTAGTGGTTTATTTTGATTGGTTACCTACTCTGTAAAATTTCTCTCTCCATGCTTTACACCAGGTTTCTAACCTCCTTATGCTTGTCTCATTATTACATTGTTGTGATATATTAAGGTGATGAATGGGCATTCATGGTGGTATGATTGTTTGTTTACTTGCAAAACCTCTGATGCTCGGACTCTTCGAAATAATCGGAGTACTCGTATCGGACACGACATGGGTATGAGTATGAGATATGTGTCGAATCTTCCAAATTTCATCAGGACACTTTGTCGTTCTTACTTCTTCTTTCTTCTTTCTTTTTTTCTTTTCCTTTTCTTCTTTCCCCTTTTTGCTCTCTATAAATCTAGCGTCGCAGTCGAGAGGGTGGAGAAATGTGGCGGCGCTAGGTTTTCCCTTCCTTTTCTTTTTTTTTCTTTTTTCTTTCCATTTTCTTCGTTTTTTTCCCTTCTCTCTCTGTATCGGTGATTTAAGATTTTATTTGTATAAAATGAAATGAGTTCCATATAGTGCTACTTATCGCTTCACTAAATCCAAATTGCAATCAAATCCCTCATTTTCTATTTTGTATAATATTTATTAATTCTCATAATTGAAAACTGAACCCTAAAATTCTATTTTATTCGTCTTATCCCTTTATTCAATGTCAATTTCCTTCTTTGTGAATAATTGATTTTGGTCTATTCAAAATGACATCTTGAATTCGTAAAAAAATTGAAGTTTGAAAGANGACATCTTGAATTCGTAAAAAAATTGAAGTATGAAAGACGTACCCACGTACCCGTGTTCGAAATTTGGACTCTTTTTAGCCATGTCCCCGTGTCTTACATTTTAGAAAATAAAAGATCCGACGCTTAGATACGTACCCGAGTCCTAGCATCATAGTGAAATTTGTGGAAAAGGATATTTACCATTGGTGGGAATGTTTTTAATATTTTTGTGATATGTCAGGCCTTAGATCTTGGAAGGAGTGAAAACCCTAAGGGCTACATGGTAGAGGAGATATGGAAAGAGCTTGCAAGAGCAAGATATTTGTTGTGGGAACAGGAATCTACCAGCCGTTCATGGGATCTTCAGAATTTAAAGTAATTGCTTTTTTCTGTTTCAAGTCCGGGTCTTTATCTTCTGTGATTCCTTCTTCTATATCTGTTTGCTTTGCTAGTAATGATGTTGGTATCTTAATTATCTTCCCATGTCTCAGAGAAACGTGCGAGGCAGCTTTGAAGGAGAAGCATTTCCTCGATGCTTCACTAGTGGAAGGATTCGAGGATGAAAATACTCAATCCAATTTAGAACAGTTGGAAGCTTTAAGAAGAGTATTTAACAAGGCTTCTGAAGATGATATCCCAACTGAGGTGAGCTTTTTGAGTTTCCTTCACAGAATTTCCCCCTTGTTGCGATTTTATTTTCTTGTGACTTGGTGACACCAATTGAGGATTTCAGGTGCCAGACTATCTCTGCTGTAAAATTACTCTAGATATTTTCCGTGATCCTGTTATTACTCCAAGTGGAGTTACATATGAGAGAGCAGTAATTCTTGATCATCTGCGGAAGGTAGTCCTAACTGATATTCAATTGTCATTTCCATTTATATATATGCACGTATTTATCCTCCAGTGTCATGAGTTAATCCTTAACTTTTCACCTTTAAGGTTGGCAATTTTGATCCGGTTAGCCGCGAACCACTGTATTCATCACAGTTGGTGCCCAATTTGGCCATAAAAGAAGCCGTGCGTGCATTTCTAGAGACACATGGGTGGGCTTACAAGACGGATTGATAGTCTACTTTTTGTTGGTTGTATGGCTCTGGTTAATGCTCATCTTTTCTCCAGTTTGGATCAAGCAGGTTGAGACATTCGTCACTCAGCATGTAAATCCCCATTTACTCTGCAATACTTTGACAGGTTGTCAAATTGGTCGTCTTGGAAATGTACAGTATCTATTTCTGAAGTTGTACAGTGTGATAGTAGAACTCTATCCATAGATATAAAAAAATATTTTCCATATGATCAATTCCTGCATTCCTTGGGTTTTCATTTCTTTCTTGAATTTTCTTCCTGCCCAATTCATGCTCTCTATGAATAAAATGATCACTATCTGAACTGAAGAAATTGGCATTATTAGCATATACAGATTTGTTTGGCTAGAATGATGATATTTTCTCTACAACTTGGTTGTGAGGTTGGAAGAGTTCAATTCTTTGTGGGTGAAGTGACTGTGTACCAAAAACTTACCTAGCTCGAAATTTAACCGCACATTAGAGGTTTTAAAATAGGATAAGTAGGCTCATGGCACGGAATTGGGACCGTGCTAGGCCTAACTGTAAGACCGACCTATTCCACCAGAAAAGGTTGGCACGGCCTGTTTGCACTTGTACGGTACCCACATAGTAGCTTGATTCCAGGTTGATGCTGCCTAATGTTGCTCAATGCAAACATATTGTTCTTAGCTACATTATTTGGATGAAGATAAGGATCCCACGTATTAGACAAATGTGTTTTCTCAAGTGTGGAGACTATGGGCACAAAATGTGCTCGGTCCCCAGCTGTGTAGCTCATGCGTGCAGAAACTCCACATGGTAGACCCCCATTTTCAATTTATTGAAACTTCTACACAATGGGGGAATTTGGGTTTAAAGAAGTTTGTCTTACATTTTGTTAAAAAGTCTTCTATTGTAAATTCCTTTCGCCTTTTGATGACATGTTTGGTGTATTGAATTTGACAGCGTTAAACATTTTTAGAGAAACAAGTGAAATCCATGTTCGTTGTCACTCATTTTGTCTAGTAGTCTATACGTTGTGATGCAAGTGTAATCTCCGTCTTAAATTGAATTCAATTTCAACAACCCAATATAGGATTAAGCCACTGTTTGGCCCCCATTAAATTAAATTGCATTACATTAAATTTTTTTCTCTTCATTACAACCACATTCATCAAATAAAATGATATTACACACAAATCTAAAACTTTTCATTACTTTGCCACCACACATTCTCCTATCAATTACTATTCCAAAAATTTTCAACTATCAAAAATGCCAAATAATGGGGGCCAAACAAGGGCTAAGTATGAAGTTGTAATCATATTTGTTTATGTATTCTTAGTTCATAATTTACAGAGATGGATAATATTCGTTAGAATTAAAAAGTTAAAATTTTATTTATTATACGGTCAAGCTCGTTCAGCATATTAAGCGTCGACTCAATGTTTAATGTGGTATAAAAGAATCTACTTTCAATGACTAGTGCAATTTCAACCATCGGATGAGGATTAAAGTTCGATTTATAACTTTTGGAGTATATTTAAATTTAACATTTATTGAAAAAGCAAGCTCACAAATAATGCGTCCTTTTTCCTTGCTCTCTTTTTATCCATCTTTCTAATAATTATCAATTGTGGACAAAATATATGAATAGGCAATGAATAATTATCAATTGTGGACAAAATCCCATTTCAATAATAGAATCACAGCTTGTGTAAATGAAAAATTGTCAATTCCATCCAAAATTGTATCTCCTCTCTATTGAAATGCAATCTCTACTCAATTATTTTTCAATAATCCAGAATCAATAAATACTAGAGATGAAATTAATTTTATAATATTCATATCTTCAACGTGTCTCCTCACGTGCAAATTGCTTAATTTTATAACATTCATATCGAAAAATAAAATATACGAAATTTTAATTTCTTTGAGGTCGTTAGTATCCGTCCACCTTACCGAACATTAAAGAAAGGTGGGAGAATATGGATAGATACAACACCTTGTGCAAAGCGTGAAAATTTATTCGGCATATTTAACTTATTCCAATTTGTTCTGCTTCCCCTTTACTTTTGAATCGGATTCTTCGATATTCTAAGGACCGCAGTTGCATGTGTCTGTTTATTGTTTAAATATAAGAGAATTTTTGATGTTTAGTTTTTTGAGCGATGATCTTAGACTCCGAATTTATCATTTTCTCATCCCAATCTGGAACCGTTCATTCAATCATCAGAGACAGATTCATAATGCCAATGGGTTTTGGAGTCATCTCATACAGTAAAGATAGAAAATATGAAAAATTACAGCCATTTAGCCCAGTAAGCAACGGTGAAATATATTGAGAATGAACCGAACAGTGTCCGGAAAAGATTCAATGTAGCCAACCCCAAATTTATCTGAAAAATAAGATAGTGTCTTGTCGAACGAGCACTGTTCAAGACACGTAAAAATGTATCATGTGTATCATTCAAGGGAATTAAAGAATCAATGATTTTATAGAAATTTATGGGATATAAGAAAAAACCCATTATTTGACAAAAAATAAAGAAGAATCCATAAAATAGCAATCATAGGAAACCAGCAAAGCAAATGCTGTCATAAGTCAGAACATATTAATGCAGTCTACTCAAAAACCATGTGCAACAATCTTTGAACATTATTGCAAAAAACCTTATGAGTAAAGCTTTCTCTAGCATTATGCACAAACCATATATTTAGAGCATCTCCAATAGTGGTGTGAAATTGGGAGTAAATTGGTATCTCCAAAATCACTTTTGCATCCTTATTTACATCACCGTGGATCTAAATTCAAATTTTGCTCCAATGGAATGCCTAAATCCACTTTTTGCCTCGTGTGAATTTAAAAAAATGTAAATTTACATCTTTTTTTACATTTTCTGCCGGAAAATGTAATTTGTATTTCCTTTGCATCTCTCTATTGAGAGAGGTTTCCAGCCACCTTGGAGATCTAAATTATAATTTAGATATATTTTACACCATGATTGGAGATGCTCTTAATTATCAAGCCATGCTGCTTAGATAATAAAATATACAGAATGAACATCGAAAATGACAACAAATTACCTCAATTGTCGATGATGAAGGAAAATGAAAATATCTAGAATTTACAGAATATGTGCTCGGCATACCCACATCATGCGGTGTGGGTTAGATTGATAGCCCGGTTCAGTCTTTCAAGTATGCCACTGGCCTTTCTCTTGGCTCTGGATGAGCCATTTTCAGCAAGCTTAGAGATAGTTCCATATGTGTTTTCCTCGTCCCTCATCTGCTTCCACTTGGATCGATCGCTATGACAAATAGTGAAGAGGATTGCAATGCAATTCTCTTTGTTTCGAGCGCAAGACGTCTCCCTGATTATACTAAGCAAGCATTCAACTCCCCCGAGCTCTCCCATTTGCTCAACAGCTGTTTGACTGGTTGAAAGCATAGCGAGGATTGACAGCAACTCATCAACATGCATTCGATTCATGATCTTTTTAAGGATAACACGCACCGCACCATCTCTAACAGCTCTCAACTTATTCTCATGAAGAATACATAGATTAAAAATAGCTGATGCAACATCTTTCATAGCTAAAAGATGCCCCTCTTCTAATAAGTCAATGAGAGGTTTCAAAGCACCGGATTTACCAATCAGCTCCTTATTTGAGTCAAGAGCCGATAATGTGAAAAGGGCTGCAGCTGCATTACTCCTTGTTTCGATAGTTCCCGATCTCAAAGCATCCATAAGAAGCGGAATAACCATAGGTGTTTCTGCAACGAGCTTTTTATTGCTGTCATGAATGGAAAGATTCAAAAGTGTCGTGATTATATCTTCATGGAGGTCCGGTTGAACCTCATTTTGAGACTTGCTTTGTGATAGCGGGGACAGCAGCTGAGGTATGGCACTGCAAGATTCGCCAAAAAGTGCCCGGAACGAAGGCATCCGTTTTGTCAATAGCCGCATCTCTCTCGCTGCTTCCTTTTGATCAGACAATGTTGACGACATTTTCTCAAGCAAAGAAAGGAATTGGTCCCGGTCATCTCCAGTTAAGCCATCCTCATCAGAATATTGAGCAGAATCCGGCAATCTAATCCCATGATTCTTGCACCATTGCAATATCATTTCCTTAATCAAGTGATTAGGTGTAAGAATGGTGTGTGATAGTACTTGTTGGGTTCTAGGGCAAGTCCTGTTCCCAGATTTTAACCATTTCTGAATGAAGGATCGATCATAAGTCTGCAAAAATTGTCAATGTTAACAATATGAACAAGAAACTGCATTCTAAGATCTTAAAATTTCCAAATAAAAATATATCTTCATGTCAACATATCAACCTAAAGATAGACACATAAACCAACTTCAATCCGACAACCAAATAAGTCAAAATTCCTAAAATTTTAGACAAAGTGATTAACTTATCGAAAGAAAGACAGAAGTTAGAAATTTCCTCTGTTCAGTCACACATACACACACATACAAATTCAGAGTGCACATTTGTAGAACAAATTAATAGAAATGGTAACCGAATCCTGAAAATTATCTTGTCAAGATCAATATTCAAAGTCCAGAAGAAGAAAAAAATTTCTCAAACTGCCAAAACCAAATACAGTTTAACAAAATAAACAAAATCCAAACACAGACACACATTAACTAATTTGCAAACAATTTCACAAAAAAAATGATATGAACAAAATCAAATCTGATTTGTGGGAGTAAAATTACGAACCTGTCCGGTGGCAACTATAACAGGATCCCTCATGAGTTCTTTAGAAAGTGGGCACTTAAATTCCTCAGGTACCGCACCAGAAACAACTTCACGGCGAGAATTATTATGTAACTTTAGAGATAGATACTTTTTCATCTTCAATTCCTTTAAAGCAGAAAGCATTTGCTGGGCTTTATCGATTGCCTCCAAGTTAACATCCTCGTCATCAACAATTACCTTGACAAATTTCTGCAATTCCCTCTTCAATTCCATAGCCTTAGCCACCGGTCCTGGATCGCCTTCCAAA